GGTTCAAATGAAGGACAAGTCATTTCCGGCAATTCAATCTCCTAGCATTTTCCTTATTCATATTACCTTTTATTTTCCTGCTTGAGTATTCTTACGTAGTTTTCCTAAAAGTCTACGAGTGTCCTATTTTGGACCAACAATATCTGGTGCCAAGTACATTATGATCTCATGACATTATTGTTTTCATCCTAAATTAGAGGTTGTGAGTACGAATCTCATCCCAATCGAAGAAGTTGACATTGTCATTGAACATATTGTCAACATTTCATTTCATTTCACTTCAGATAGGCAAACTCATTACTTGTTTGGCACCATCTTTTAAAATATCAATTTGCAATATAATCTTAACTAATTTTAATGAATAAATAAATTATTATATAACTTTACTAATATCTCGCATGCTTACTAAACCCTGGCTTTAAGTGCTCAATGACAGTCATCCTATGCATAGTGGCTCAGCAATGTCTTTTCCCATCCTAGTTTAATTCGTTTTGAAGAGTTCTTGATGAGAGTTCATAGTTTATCTATGTTTGATTCATTAGTAACTACTCTTTTAGTTGTGTGTTGTGAGCGATAATAAAATCAAGAACACATGACCATATCAACAACATCATCATTGATAAAGTGAAATTTAAATAAAGATAACTTGATTAAGTCATAGTATATCAACGCTCAGTTAAAGCTACTGGATCTTTACACAACTAATGGAGATAGCAAATGACGAAGACCCAAAGGCGGTTATCGACATTTGAAGGCATTATTAGAAATTAAATAGTTAATGAGTTAATTACGCCCAACAACCATAATTATGTAAACTGATCGATATAAGATGTTATGAGTATGAATAAAACAGACATATATATAAAATTACAATCAATGGTGGTGGAAGATGGAACCTCCACATGGTTGTCCAACACCACCACCACTCTCAACCGGAATCACTCCCAGTAATTTTCTATAACAACTCTTAACTACAAAATCCTTTCACATCCCATCTCCAGCACGATCTGCCAAGAACAGTCTTCTTACTCAAAGAAATACTAATCAAGCCCGCAATCGATTGATTACTCTCAGAGGGGAGCCATGGTTTTGTCCAAATACTAATAGATATTTTGTTCCCTACTCAGCATTCATACCCCTTCTTCAAAATACTGTGTAAACATTTAGGACCGGTTCAGAGCTCAATCACCAAACCACGAAGGTTGCTCGTCATCCAACCACCAAAGGGCTTCAAAAGGGAAAAGGGAAGGGCAACAACCACTGCACTCAACCTCACAGAGAAAGGGACCTACCGGAGAAACCCCCCAACCCACTAGCCCAGAGTGAAGCACTCAAAGGTATCCCAGGAGACCGTCGGGGGTGGCCGGAGCACAAACCCAACACAATTCCTACACTCTCTCACTCTAGAACCAGGGCAACACTCAGAATGACTCCTCGAAGGAGAGAGGGTGAGAAGGAGTCAAATACAATGATCCAGAAGGATCCAGACTAATACAAAGGGGACCATCTCATAGGGTGGTGTTGTACAGAATGAGGGTGGTAATCTAAACAACAAAGATGGTGTTGTAGACAATGAGGATGCTGCTATAGAGAAAGAGGATGCAAATGTTGAGAGTGGCCATTCAGGTGTAAATAAGGATGCTAATGCAGAGGCTGAGGATGCTAAAGAAAAGACTGAGCATGGTGGTGGTTTTCCTGCAGGAAAAAATGAAAAAGAAATGCAAGAGAAGAAAAGTGAGGAGATAGAGAAGAACGCTGAAGAAGAAGCTTTTGACATGCCTACGTTTAACATATTAACTCAGTCTCAAGGTAGTGCGGAAAAAAAATGAAGACAGTGTGCAAATGCAAGAGGAGAGACTATCTGCACAAGAAGATAAAAAAGACACTGCTGAATCTAGTTGGGGTATGGGGTCACAGGACAATAGTCAATTTGTCCAAGAGATGTGCAAGAGTGCTGATGAATTGGCAAAAAAGGCTTTTGAGAGCTCTTCTTCTAATCCATGCAGAGCAATCATAGTAAAGACTGACCAGGTAAATACCAAAACTCGGTAAAATGACATTCAAGTGAACTTTTCACATGTTCAAAATGACATTCAAGTGGCAATGTTTATGACCATTTTGTAGTATGACATTGAGTGTTGTCATTTATTACTTCCTTTTCAATAAACATATAAGAACATAATAAATATGATATATTATGCCAATGTCACAGGAGCATCTTCCCAAACAAGAATGTGTTGTTAGGTCACCAGTGAAGTCCATGGGAACTGAGCATGCACCAAAGAGGAGGAAGAGAGAAAAGGCAAAGAAAAGAGAAGATGATGAATTTCTGCCACCCCTAAAGCAAATAATTGGACCTTTCTCTGAAGATCCAGTAGAGAGCCCACCAGTTGAAGAAATAAAGAGGGTGAAAGCGTACCTGCAAGTTGGATTGCTGAAGAATAAAAATAAAAATGGCAGAAGGCACAAAAAGGACGAAGGCAAAATGACTGCAAAATCATTCCTGCTAGACACAATGAAAGTTGAATAAAAAACATTGTTATATGACCTGTTTATGAATCACCAATGGATTACAGACAAGGTATGTGTATAAATGGTCATATAGTTGTCAGTAAAAATACAAAGTGTCATTTTAAATACATGTATCTTTGTACAGAATGCCATTATTAGTCAGTTTACTTTACTTTAAATTGTTAAATATGTATTTTATTTCTTGCAGCATGTTGAGGTAGTAATGTACTATTTGAGCATGAAAAGGGTGCATTACCAACTGCATCAGAAGTATATAACAACTATACCATTTTTCTTGCAAATAGTGAAGCGTGAACTTGACACTATATCAAAGGGTCATTACACATACCACAAGTCGGCAGAGCAAGAAAACATTGTGCGTGAAATAATAGGTTGTAACAACGACAGCCTGCACTGGAGCAAGGCAGACTTTGGGTACCTTCCTCTGAATACTGGCAATCATTGGGTCTTGTTAGTGCTTGATATCAAGCAGAGAAAAGTAAGGGGTGTACAATTCCAATGCCAGAAGAGGTGATTCACTGAGGGATATATGATCCTATTTTGCAAGCATAATAGTGCTCCTGCCCAAACTTATGGATTATCACAATGTCTATCAACTGATGGGTGAAGAGCCTGTAGAAGGATGTCCACAGCAAGATGATGGGTAAGAGGATATAAATTTAATTAAACAGAGTATGTAATAGTGTACTTCTTTATTATATTAAGAAAGTGCTTTTATTTTTGTTGTTATGCATCAGGGGAAATTGTGGAAAGTACATGTTGAAAATGACAGAATTTCTAATGCTAGGGATGGACATGGATGCCATATATCCCGATGCAATACCATTGTTCAGGGGGGAAAATGGCAACCAAGCTGGTACTCTACAATGAAAGAAGGCAGTGCGAGAAAGAATGAAGCGAGGCTTTGGAAGACTATCTCATATGTACTAAAATGATGTGTGTATTGGAAGACTGTCTCATATGCTTATCGTTTGTTATTGTTTTCGAACAGCATGTTGTTTCACTTTTTTTAAGACAATCAGTTACATTTTGTTTTGAATGTATGACATTTGGTTTTGAAAATAGTGATGGTTTATCTACAAGTCATTTCTATTTATGTATGCATCTTGTAAATGAAATTCGGATGACAGTTGTTAGAAGTTTAAATGACATCTACTATGAAAATGTCATTATTCAGTAAACAAAAATGCCATTCATAAAATGACATTTAACATGACATTCATTTGAATAAAAAATGCCATCAAATCTGACATATGCCACTTAAGGATAAATAAAAATGTCAAAACATAAGTAATAAACATCAATAAATGCTAGAATGTTTAGGAACAACATGTTATTTGACTTGTTAAACACGGTGAGAATTCATTTTATTGAATTATGCATATTATTATTCATACTTGTATTCATCTATGCATGGATTGTTAGTGGGGTCAGATTTGATTACATATACAACAAATGACATAAAATGACACTTAGATGACATTTGTTAGAATGTCAAATGACATCAACAGTGATAAATGTCATTTACAATTAAAAATATGCCATCACATAATTGACATGACATTTTGGGCAATGCATATGGCTAAAAAATATTACACTGAACTGTTTACACAAGCTTCTAATAACTATAAGGAACAATGTCATGTAAATGACACGTCAAAATGAAATGGAAAAACTTAACATGTAAATGACATGTGAACAATACAATTTTTTAAACTTAAAGGCCATCAAATCTTACATACGTTAGTTAACAATAAACAAAATGTCAAACCATAGGTCAACTGACATCAAGTGTGAAATAAATCATTGAAATGTATCCATTACAAATTGGCATCAAGTGTGAACCACAACTGCCATCAAATCTGTAATATGTCAATTAAGCTTAAACAAAATGCCAAAACACAACTCATAAACACTAAATGCCAGAACATTCAAACAAATGATAACTTCGTCCACACCACATAGTAGAATTCTTAAAATTTGTTTGAATGAATAAAAATATAATCTCAACTAATTTTAATGAATAAATAAATTATTTAACTTTACTAATATCTCACATGCTTTCTAAAACACGGGCTTTAACTGCCCAACGACAGTCATCCTATGCGTAGTGGCTCAGCAATGCCTTTTCACATCCTAGTTTAATTCGTTTTGAAGAGTTCTTAATGAAAGTTCATAGTTTATCTATGTTTGATTCATTAGTAACTACTCTTTTAGTTGTGTGTTGTGAGCGATAATAAAATCAAGAACACATGACCATATCAAGAACATCATCATTGTTAAAGTGAAATTTAATTAAAGATAACTTGATTAAGCTACTAGATTTTTACACAACCAATGGAGATGGCAAATGACGAAGACCCAAAGGCAATTATCAACATTTGAAGGCATTATTAGAAATTAAATAGTTAATGAGTGAATTACGCCCAACAAACATACTTATGTAAACTGATCAATATAAGATGTTATGAGTATGAATTTGTTTTTTTTTTACTCCAACTGACAGATATATTAATTCACCAAATCATGCGCCAATAGGCTTACAATAGAGTCAGGAATACTATCATACCAATAGTACTGATCCGAGATTGACACATGTGCTCTTGCTAAAGCAGGGGCAACACGATTCGCGGATCGTTTACAAAAAGAGACAATGAAATTACTCTTATCTTTTAGTAAATGCCAAATATCATCAAGAATAAGGAAAAGGCAAGAAGACCCCCCTTCAATTTTAGACCCTGGACCACCGAGAGAGCATCTGTTTCCACCTCCACATGTGACCAACCTGCCTCAGCCGATCCCATCAAAGCATCCCGAACACCCATTGCTTCTGTTTCCACCACTGACCAACTAGTTGCTTCGGAGACCCCTCTCGCCTTCAAGAAATTACCATAATGGTCCCGTGCCACCCATCCCCAGGCCCTAGTATGTGTGCTTTCATCCACCGCCCCATCAACATTAATCTTTACAAAACCCTCTTGCAGACGCTTCCAAACCGTCAAGGAATTATTTTCTCTCCTAGACCCATCTGTACTCTCAGAACCTTGCGCATCTCTGATCTCCATCCCGAGATAATTCCCGTCGCTGAGTTGATAACATCTGCCGCTCCTTGCCATTCGTCTTTCCAGACACATCCATTTCTCCTCTTCCACAGACTCCATAAAATAGCTATGAATCTGCATCAGTCTTCCCCATTTGGTCTGTCACGCCCCGGACCTAACCGGACACGTCAACAATCCGCCGTACAGTACGAATAGTCAATCGCAGTCCAACACATCCATACTATACAAGGCGTCTGGAATATCATTCACACATAGTACATCAATAAACAAACATAATGTAAAATATTCATTCAAAGCAGCAGAAACATTCAATACGAGTGTTCATGCCACACCTTGGCAAACATGGGCATACAAAGCCCCCAAATAAATATTTAAAAATAATATCCATAAGCATTAATTTAAATAGTTTGTAAAAATGGAAACGGAGGAAGCACGAACCACGTCTTCACTCCTTGGATCCTCCCGAAAGCAACGGCGATAGTAGCAACCTTCAAGTTCTACCTGAAACTGTGAGTTGGCCTCCCCCGTGAAGGGGAGGTCAGTACTTGGAAGCATTTGACAAGTACAATGACAACTATACTAAGTATAATCAAAGTTTCAATTTCCAAGACCCTCAATCTAGGATATTATTATTTTATAATTAACTCACGTTCCTTCATGCTAGAGTTCGGCTCATAGTCATACTAATTTGTGCTAGAGCTCGGCTCATAGTCACACTACATCTTGCTAGAGTTCGGCTCATAGTCATACTACATTTTGCTAGAGCTCGGCTCATAGTCATACTACATTTTGCTAGAGCTCGGCTCATAGTCATACTAATTTGCTAGAGCTCGGCTCATAGTCATACTACCACGTGCTAGAGCTCGGCTCATTGTCACGTCATCTAATCCTAAACAATTTCTTAGTCTAGGTTCCATTCATTTTGAGTAACCCTTAAGGCCTACTCCTAATGTAACTTGGGTTCATAAAGTTCACCTTAAAAATATCCTTTAAGGTTACTTAGCTCCAATATCTTGGGATTAGCCCCAAAGACTATTGAACTAACATTTCCGACTAGTAATTCTATACTAGTCGTTTAATCTTAATATAACCAATGCAAATTCATAGTAGTTCGTATATTTCAATTTAATTCCACATTCAAGTATTGTTTGGCTCTAATATCAAAATATCACTTTTATCCCTCCATGACTTCTTCACATGAGGTAAAAGTATATTTATCACAATGAACACTCATGATTAATACAACTATCATGCCATTTTATTCATAACACATAATCATACACAATTTATTCATAAATTTGTATATTATGCCTTTTCACTTATAAACAATATAAATTTCATTTAGGAACCTTTTATCATTAATAAACCATGCCAAACACATTTAATTAATTTAGGAAATCTCATGAAATTAACCCAATAATTATAAGCAATATAGTCGGTCATCCTCACCTTAAGTGAGCTTAAGCGCGTTCTACGCTTCTCGATTGAACTTTGACTAATTCCGGCGAACTTTGACCAACTCCGGCGAACTTTGACCAACTCCGGCGAAGCTCAAAAATACTTTAATCAAGTTCCTAACAAGGTTTTAACATCACAATACCTTAATCAATGCAAATAACCTCTAAAAGGTTATTTTCTGGTGAACTTGTCGGTTTGGCTCCTAAGTCCGTTTTTGGACTTAGACCACCCTCCAACCCATTAATCCACACTCATGTCATGTGGAATAATCCTAAAGGTTCTTCATATGATATATATCTCATATGGTGGAAGAAAAATGGAGAAGAAGTTATGATAAGGTTATTACCTTAATTTTTCACCCTTTTAGCACCTTAATTCCTTTTCTTGAGATTCTTCCTTGATGAGCTCCCTTCAACAATGGAGAATGAGGGTTGAGAGCTTCCTTGGTCTTGGTGGAGTAGTGCTGGACGAAAAATGAGGGAGGAGGATGGTACATGGTCCTTTTTGTCTCAATAGACCAATGAGTGTGGGTGGAAGGCCCACCTCATGTCTCTTTGATCCTTTTCCAATCAACCAAACATCCCCCATCCTTCCTTCCTCAATTCAGCCGCCCAAGAATTGAAAAAATGTGGCTAAATTCGTGGGTTGGCCCCCACCCATGTGGGAGGTCAACCCTTTTTGTCCAGAAGTGTACAATCGGTCCCGAAAGTTGTATTTTTCGGACTGTTTTAAATATATTTTATTTTATCGGGCCAAATAAAATATATCATGCGTTCTTAGTCATCATGACATCTAGAATGAATATACATTCCCCAACTTTAATTTATAAGTCTCCGAAATTCATTTCAGGCTGTTATCTGTTAAATTACCGATACCGTTATTTGGGCATCTTTTGGCCAATCGGTTCACATGATGTCATTCCTTTGGACCAAATAAATTATCCACCACTATATGAATATTATTTAGACCAAGGTGAATAAAGTATAGGGTCTCGGGAATATCGGGCGGTCCCCGCTCCCGGTGTGGGCCCCACGTGCGAATTTACTATTCACGCAAAAGAATTAATAAAAATTCGCAACTTCGTATATTCATTAACCATTCCATAAGGTTCAATACAATATTCACTTAAAAGTAAATACATTTGGGGACGTGCGGAAGCAGCACAAAATTTGAGGGGAGGCGGAAAAAAATTCGAACGGCTGGTTGGAAATATCCATAATCTGTATCATTTTTGTTTATATTTATGATAATTTGATCTCAAATCCAATTTCGACATTAAGTGACACTTTATTTGGACTTATATGTAATTCACACACAAGAGCACGCATACATATACATATCAACTTAAATAGACATTTATTTATTTTTATATGTGTTTTGTTAGTGCATAAACAAAATAAAAGACTTCGTTTATCAAACGAGTTTATTTCGATTTAATACGCTTCTCCTTTTATTTTAGAATAACAAGGTTTATATTTTTAAATATAAAAATCGCTAAACAAGTAGAAGAAGATAAATTAATAATATATATAAGTTAGTAACTTATCAAGAAAATAGTAATTTTATTTTTCTCTTTTCAAATCAACGTCACTTGCAGGTTATTTATTTTGCAAATGCATTACATAAATCTAAATATACTCATATACAGTAGATATTTAAAATATCAAGAAGAAATTTTGGCATACTTGTACTAAATCAAGGAATAAATAACTATGTTAAAATTCAAGTCGTGTTGAAAACATTCCTGATAAACTCCTTGTAAAATGATTTAGGTCAATGTTTAAATAGGAAAGAAATAGTTAAGGGTCATTTGTTACTACTATTGCACTAAATAGAAAATGTAAATAATATTTTAATAATATTGGAAGAAGTAAAAAAATAAATATTTTGAATTGTAAAAATATAAATGTAACATAAAAGTAAAAGAAATCTGGAGTGGTATAAAAATATTAAAACTAATACCATCCCAAAATGTTAAGAGAAAAGTAGAGGAAATTTAATTGGAGTACATAGTAATTAAAAATGGGGCAGCAGGAATCGAACCTGCGTCCCCCACACCTCTGCCGCGCCCCTCTTACCATCATGATACTACAACCATTACTTCAAAACCGGGTTCGTTAGTATTTATTACTATTTCTGAGACGGGGTTGAATCTATACATATACATATATATACACATTATAAGCTCCGGCGAACAGGGGGCGGCAGCACCGGCTCGCTCCCCCTAGTTCTGCCACTGATTTGGGGACGGTGTTACATGGTCCGCCCAGATGCCGCCAAAACCACATATTCACTGACTCTACCGGGCTGCCCAAATCCACACCCACCTTTCTCCAGACCTCTTTTGCTCTTTCACAAACCCGAAAAACATGATCAGTATCCTCAACCACATCGTCACTAGGGGTGGGAAAAAATACCGAAATTTCGGTATACCGGACTAACCATATCGAAAAATACCGAATTTAGCGTAATGTTTGGTATACCGACACTTTTGGTACGGTATGATACCATACCGAATCACTTTGGACCTTTGGTATGGTATCGGTATATATTTTGGAAATAAGTGGTATACCGGTATACCGTCATACCGTAATTCCAAGCCAATAATTTCCTTAAAATTATAAAAATAACTAGAAACACAACACTAATTCAAGGATAAATGACTTTAAATCCATGTTTCTTGAATTATTTGTACTTTTTTGTTTGAGATCGGTGTTATTTTATTTATATTTATGTTGTTTAAATTATTTTAGCAAAATGTGTTGTTATCTTCGTATATCATGTGTTGAAATATCTATACATATTTATAATATTTTTTGTTCAAAGTTGAATAATCTCATTGGTATTTTATAATTAATTTCATTAATGATTTTAGCATATCACTGTTAACACTGATTTTCTTTATTTCATTTGACATATAATAATTTGTTACATTAAATCATGATAATTTACCGATACCGTACCGAAATTTCGGTATACCGAAACAAGGTATACCAAAATTTCGGTATGGTAACAGTATGTATTTTTGCATCCTGAAAGCTTACGGTATGGTAAAGGTATGCGATAAAATATTCGGTAGACCGTACCGAACCACCCCGAATCGTCACACACTTTACACCCGTCAAGAACCTGCACACATTTTTTCCTCAGATTATCAACCGTAGGAAGAGAGCCATCAATAGCTTGCCAGGCAAAATATTTTAGCATCGGTGGGATATGCAACTCCCATAACCGAGCCCAATCAGTCCCGTCCCCGGTCTGCAACTTCCCTATAAGCAAACGGTAACATCTTTTCACTGAAAACTTCCCACTATTCTCACCGTTCCACCAGTACCCATCCTTTCTGTCATAGGAACTAATGGGTATACTCAAGATCTTCCGTCTGTCATCTGCATTAAAAATATTAGAAATTCTCTCCCCGTTCCATTTTTTCCCAGTTATATCACGAAGGGCAGCAACATTCATATCTCTAATTCCAGTTGGTCTGGTCGACGAAACCCGACCCTCCCCCTCACCCGGGAGCCACGCATCAGCCCAAACCTGAACCTCAATCCCATTCCCAACTCTCCTTCGGATGTTATTTTTGAGGATATTTTGAGTCTCAACAATACTCCGCCAGATAAAAGATTTGTTATACCCCACCTGAGCATGTAAAAAGTCCGAGTTTGGATAATACCTGACCTTCAATACTCTGCACATACCCCTTCTTCAAAATACTTTGTGTAAAGATTTAGGACCGGTTCAGAACTCAATCACCAAACCACGAAGGTTGCTCGTCATCCAACCACCAAAGGGCTTCAAAAGGGAAAAGGGAAGGACAACAACCACTGCACTCAACCTCACAGAGAAACGAACCTACTGGAGAAACCCGCCAACCCACTAGCCCAGAGTGAAGAACTCAAAGGTATCCCAGGAGACCGTCGGCGGTGGCCGGAGCACAAACCCAACACAATTCCTACACTCTCTCACTCTAGAACCAGGGCAACACTCAGAATGACTCCTCAAAGGAGAGAGGGTGAGGAGTCAAATATTCAGTAACTTATTTCAATTTTTACACTTAGGAGAACATGACACGGTAATATAGTAACTTTTAATGATATTTTTGTAAATAATTTATTTCAAAATTATTTTAAAAAAGGTCTAAATATATTTATTAAACTAAAACAAAATTACATGTAATGAAATTTAGCCATGGTTAATATCTTTTACACTTTTCAATAAGTGATGCACTATAATATTTATTCAAGACAAATATAACGAAGCCTGAATTCAAAACTTGACAAAAAAAACTATGATTAAGGCCCCAAATGAAAGAATTAATAGATTATTATGTTGACACTAAATTTATATAAGATAATGTGTAACATAAAATCTAGATAGTCATTCTTTCACACATGTAATATTTGATGAATTTATTATCATAGTGTTACTTTATTATTTAGCTACATTAAAAATTCTTATCAATATATAAAGTGCATGAAAGTAACAATGATGAGAAAAATGTACAACATTTTAAGGGGAACATAATGTTAGATAATACCGAAACGATCACCATTTAAGAATAGTGAAACAAATTATAGGAATAATTAATTCATTTCCAACTATTATAAATACACACACACACGAAGTCAAATACATATATAAGAGATGAAATACAAACCTCTCATAATTTACTAACTATAAACTAATCTTGACCATCTGATTAGTTTATCTAAAGGTTGCATATGCACGGTGGTATTTTGGTATTAAAACCGAAATTTTGGCTCAAATAATTGAAGAAAAATGTATAATCATCAATATATAAAGTTTTTAATATTGTGTCATAGAAGTAGAATTTAGCTTAAAAAATTGACACCACTCAAATGAATCGTTGGCTCCGCCACTGAGGCCGGGTCATCTACTACAATAAGAATATGAAGAAGATCAAAAGTGTGATGAATAGGTATGTGATAAGGGCAACTAATGCTAGAATCTTACCAGCATTTCCTGTTACGTAAACTAAATCCATTTAAACTTATTACTACTAGATCCATCCTCATAACTACATTTGACCGTGGACAGTTATTTATAAGTTCAATATTGTTTGAACTCTTTATTTAAAGAGAAATTAAAGAATCAATATAAGTCACAAAATCATTTCCTTGTAAAGGTAATGGAGATAATTTATGAACATATGAAAAATCAAAAGAATGAGAGAGTAAATATGACTTTATTTGTTAATGATGAGTTTCCTTTTCTCAGAGAGCAAACACATTTAGGTAATATATAAAACCTTTACAAATAATCTGGTTATTCCTAATAAGCATGCAAGGTCAAATGCCTTGAGAATTGAGATGGCTACGGTGGTTCACTTAAGCCCTTAAGTACATACATATTAATACATTTATAGTACAAATTTAGTCAAATGGGATTTGTTCAGCCCCTAGATTTAAACATGAAGCCATTGGCCATTCAATTCACCTGATTTTTTTGCTGTGTAGTTTGTTGGCGGCTGTTTTCTGCTACATTTTGAAATAGATAACTATTTCAAAAGTCCTTGTAATAACAATTGGTATAAGCTCCAAATTCATCTAATTAAAAGATATACACTACAAATATACTCCAAATTCCTCTAATTAAAAGATATACACTACTACAGATATAAGGGAAAGTTCCTGAAATGGGACCAAAAACGTTTGTAAATTCTAAAATAGGACTGTCATGTTTTTATTCCCAAAATAGGAGTAATTACTGTCAAGTTTGGAAAATATTGTCATGTTTAAAGTCTGGTACTGCCAAAACATGACAGTAATTAGTCCCATTTTGGGAATTAAAAACATGGCCGTCCCATTTTGGAATTTACAAACGTTTTTAGTCCTATTTAGGGTAAATTCTCCAGATATAAACTCCAAATTCATTTAATTAAAAGATATACACTACAAAGTCATCTAATTAAAGATATACACTACTAATTCATCTAATCATGAAACAAGCATAATTATACTATTGTTTACATTACGATTTGTCTGATTCCCCCATTAAAGATGGATTACTAGTCCATACAAAACAAACCTGAAATTGAAAAAAAAAAAAAAAAAAAAAAACTATTCGAGTCACAGGCCATAGGTGCATGTTCCGGATATCCATGTGAAGAAAAAATCCACAATAGAAATTAACATACTCGAATTTCTAAATAAATTACCTCGAAGATCAAACTCCACTATGAGGATAACTGAAGCGCGCAGGTGATCGATGGCGATGTCGGCAACAATCTGTTAGAAATCGGGGAATGTAGAATGAAGTGTCGTCTTCGAGTATAAACATAATTAGCAGCGATCTGATTATCTGAAGAGAAGCGAGCGATTTGCGAGCATTTGAGACTATTACCCGTCATCGATTGAGTATCTGATCTAATTTTATTTTTTTGCTCCAATTTTATTACTTCCTCCGTTCTTTTTTAGTTGCAACGGTCAACATTTCACACTTGTCAACGCACGTCTTTGACCGTAATTATATCTTAATCTCTATTAGTAAAAAAATATTTAAAAATTAGATTTTGAAAATTTGTAATGAGATGAATTGAACAATATTCTTTTTAAAAATTAATTTTCATAAAATATTAATATAAAATGTAGTCAAAGTAGAACATGTGAATAGTGTAAAATTCAACATGTTGCTATTAAAAAGAGACGGAGAATAATATTTTGCTACTTGTTTGTTCTGTAGGACGTGGTCAAGCGAGTATTAATTAGAAATATGTGTATGGGCTAAAAACGTACTGGCCCGGTAAATTGAAAGGATACAGAAATGATTTTATACGTGTGGACAAAATACTACTTGTATACTCCGTAATAAAAACTGTTGTCAAATAAGCTTTCAGTGTTTCACTGATGCATTTAAAAGTATAATTTTTTTAAACATCAGCAACACTATTTAAAAATGTAGAACCCGTTTGGAGAACTCTGTTTTCGGCTTATCAGGCTTATCAGCCAGCTTTTTCACCAAACACGTAATTTTTACTTTCGCGCGCTGAATTGTGTAATAAGCCGAAAAAGTAAGGTTGGAGTTACTTTTCTGGCTGTATTGGCTGAAGTTACTGTAGAGGACCATTTTAGCTATTTTTACATATAATTTTTTCTTTAATTTATTAATAAAATATATTTTTAAAATATTTTTTTCTTAAATCAGCAGAATCAGCCAAAACAGCCACTGCAGCCAGAATATCATAAATTTCAGCAGAATCAGCCAAAACAGCCGATTTTGGTGCTACCAAACGGGCTCGTAGTCTACGAAATCATAAAGCAACAGTTTCTCGTGAATAAAAAAGTTAGGTGTTGCCGAACCTCTAAAATGTTGCAGTGAGAGTCACGGTCTGGTAATACAAAATAAGGACAAGTGGGCTGGGTAAAGACAAGCAAGGGCAGATGGGCTTGGTCGGCTAGGACAGCCCAGATGAAAAAGGAATATTAATGAATGGGACCAATACCAACTCACATTCTCCACTTTATTGTCCCTGATGATGTTGAGCATAATGTGAAAAGGGAGGATCATCATCAATTCATCGTCGGTTTCTTGTGTACCTGTTCTTATTTAACCACAGATTAAGTTAAATGTATGTTTACAAGATAACGGTTTTTCAAAAGAAAGACATTTGGTTCCCATATCAGCTGGGTTAAACTCAAAAGCAATCTTGCAAAGATTTACTTCTTTGTCAACAATATCCCTGATAAAATGAAATTTGACATCGATATGTTTGGTCCTATAATGAAACACTGAATTTTTGCACAACTGGATAACAGACTGGCTATCTGAGTACACTGTCACAACCTGCTTTAGAAAACCAATTTCAGTTATAATAAATTTCAGCCAAATAGCCTCTTTAAAGGATTCAATGAGTGACTGCAATGTATTCAGATTCAGTAGTAGAAAGTGCTACAATTGGTTGCAGTTGGGATGTCCAACTTATGCAAGAGCCACTGAGAGTAAAAATATAGGAGGTAGTTGACTTCCTATTATCCCTGTCATTCGCATAGTTAGAATCAACAAATCTAATCAAAGAAATACCAGCACGGGTGTTAGAGAAAATCATACCATGGTTAATGGTACCCTTGAGGTACCTTAACCACCACTTCAGGTCATTCTAGTGTGGCAACCCAAGGTTGGCCATGTATCCTACTCAGGCAACTTAAAACATAGGCAATGTCAGGCCTAGTGCTTACCATGACATATATGACTGACCCTATTGCATTGGAATAGGGGACAACATTCATACTCTCAATTTCAGGGTCAGTCTTTAATTTGGAGACTGATCCTTACTTAAAACAAAATGAGAAGCCAAAGGAACATTAACAGGAGTGGCATCATTCATATTAAACTTACACAAGACTTTTTCAAGATAAGAAACCTGATTTAAAGTGAGGGAACACCACCTACTTTTGTCCCTAATGATATTAATGCCAAGGATTCTTTTTGCATCATCAAGATCATTCATAGCAAAATTATCACTAAAGCACTTTTGAACATGTTTAATGGAATTTAGGGAAGGACTAATGAGTAGCATGTCATCAACATAAATTAGCAAGAAAACAGCGATAGAGGCCGTATTCTTAAAATACAGACAATGATCAGAGACAGACTCACTATTTTTAGCCTCAACAAACCCTTCAGGTTGGGTCATCAAAATTTTATTATCTAAGTCACCATGCAGAAATGTAGTGGTGACATCCATCTGCTTCATTTCCCAGTTATTGTGGGCAACAAGACCAAGCATTATTTTAATAGTAACAACCAGAGCAAATATTTAATAATAATCAACACCTTCCTTTTGGGTGAAACCCTTAGCAACTAATCTAGATTTGAATCTAATGTCATTTGGTTCTTCTTTAACCTTAAAAGGCCACTTACATTCTACAACAAAACTGTTAGGTGGTCTAGGTACAGGAGTCCAAGTCTTATTTAACCTGAGTGACTCTATTTCACTTTGCATAACACAAAGCCATTTTTAGGATTCTTTAGATGTTAGGGCTTCCTTATAGGATTTAGGTTCATTTAGGTCTAGGGTTTCAAAGACAAAGAAGTCAAATAGAGAGAGAAGTGCCACATGTATGGAAAGCAAAGTCAGTCATGCTATAAGAAAGTCTCCCAATTCTCCTAATTATTATGATCAACATCCTCCTCCAACAACAACATGCAACATCTCATTATTTCCAGATTCACGGGAATGCTCCACCTCATTAGAGGTAGAGGAGTTTTCATGTTCACTTTGAGAAGAATCAAAGGAGCCATAAGAATCAGAAGAATGAGAAGATTCAGATTTGTCCATATCAACAAACAAAGGGTCAGCAGCAATAGGGATGGGCTCCACCTCACCGGGAGGTTTCCTAGACTCAGGATCAGGATGATTTACATTTTTAATTAAACACGGAATGTCAGACTCATTAAACACAACATCCCTGCTGACAATGATTTTAAAACCAATCTGATTCCTATCCCAAATCTTATACCCTTTCACCCCTTCAGGATAACCCAGGAAAACACCCTTTTTAGATCTAGGTTCAAGTTTATCAGTCTGTTGGTGTACATAGTCTGCACACCCAAAAATCCTTAAGTTTGGCATATCAATGGGTTTCTTAGAGAAAACAGACTCATGACATTTTCCCCCTAAAGGCACAGAAGGAGACCTATTGATCAAGTAGGTGGCATTGTTCATAGCTTCTCCCCAAAACTTCTTGGGGAGGCCAAAAGTAGCCATCATACTTCTGACTCTGTCAAGGAGGGTCTTACTCATTCTTTAAGCTATCCCATTTTGTTGGGAGTGTAATGCACATTCTTGTGTCTCCTAATCTCACACTCAACACATAGCCTATCCATATTGATCATGATGCAATCAACATGTGACCCATTATTATTGATCATGATCAACAATACCTCTCATGTGATCTTCTTCTTACTCATCCACAATCATGCTTTTTCACTTTATTTACACTTTCTTAAACTCATATCCAAATCTAATTAAAGTGGGAACTGTTTTATGAGATGGCGGAAGCATTAAATAGAGTTACATTCGGGTAGGACTCCATGACGCTGTTTTCTGGGTCCGCCACTGCATATAGAAGGAGATACATTTACATGTGTAATTGGGATATTATCTGAAACAACAATCACTCAATTATTGTACAAATATCCAAATCAAGACAAGTTGCAACACTTTCAGAGGTGTTCTAAAGAAAAAAAAAGTTGCTTTTAGTTTATGGTTTTCCTTCTAAATAAAAATCTTCCATATCATTAAGAACTAGACTCACCCGAAAAGGTACTGAACAAAAAATCTAACACGTCCCTTATGTTCAAAATGACAAGTTAGCTTCTGAGGTGAAAATGAACCAAATAGATTCCAAACAAAATAATACATACAAAAAGTAACTTATTTAGGCATTTCTTTTATGAATATTACATAGTACTCCCTCCGTCCCAATTTGTAAGATACATTTCGGTTTACGATGTTTGACTGACGATAAAGCAAATTGATCCCTGTCAACACCCAAATTAGTTCTAGAAAATAAAATTTACATATTCAAAAACTACATTAAATCCGCTACAAAACCTGCAAAAAATAATTCAAACTTCATAAACTTTTGATATATAAAATAAAAGTTTAGAAGTGATTTATGTTGACCAAGTGAATAGTAAATGTATCTTACAATTTGGGACTGAGGGAGTACTAAATTATATACCGTAGACAAAAATCTGACATGTTTTTAAGTTTTCCAAAAATGTGTCTTACAATATCATTTTGTCCTTATTTAATGTTACATTTATTATTTTGATATTTCATTTTTGTAATTAATTATTAATCAATGCCTCTAGCCACCCTAATGACTGTCACCGCCATCGCAGCCGTCGCCACAGTACTTCGTTGTCTACATTCTCTACTGACTCCGTTTCCCATGCCCCACGGTCGCCCCCTTCACAGGGACTTCGTTATGTATCTTCTTTAGGGACTTTGTTTCCCAGCACCATATAGTGACCGTTTTATAGTGACTCTGATCTGTCTTTGTTGTTGTCGCCACCACAGTGACTTCGTTATCTACCTTCTTCAAGGACTCTGTTTTCTTGCGCCATATAGTGACCATTGTAGAGTGACTATCACACGCAGGAACATTACATAGTTGCTCCATCCATCTTCACTTCCCATTGTAACTAATGCTAAACCCGACCAACCCTCTTTATTTATGATGGGAGTGACTGTAGTCATTTCTAAACCCGATGGCGATTACAGTGACACTACCCCTCCCCTACAACTGCAACACACAACACAACAAATACGGGTGGAGCCATGGCACTTTGGCAGTACAAGGAATATGTTTTGGAAAAAAATTCACACAGAATTTTTTACAATAAAAATATAAACATTTTTAAAATTTGTTGGGTCAGGTTTTCCCCCGAGCTATGCCCCTGACAACAACCAGCCAAAACTCACTGCCCTAGCCAAAAAATCACAGCCCCATCCAAAAAACCACTGCCCCGACTTTTGTGCAATCAATTCAAGCTGTCATCGTGCACCCACCACAGCCCTTTATTCCCATACACCAAAATTATCTGAAACTAAGTCGTCGTCTAGTCGAACAACAACACCGGCGAAGACGAACGATCAAGGGATATATATATTTGGATCTAGTGGTGACAACGTTTTGGGAAGAGAAGAAAGAAGAAGTTGAGCAAAGTTGTGAAGGCGGCAGGCGATGACCGATAAACAGGCAGAGGTGTGGGATCCTATCGGTGATTATACTAGTCAGCTAAGCTAGGCAGCGGTGCAGATTACTGTGGGTGGAGATAGAAAGTGGTGCAATTGCTATCGGAGAAATTAGAGTACGACGTCACATCAAGGAAGGCGGGAGCTCGAGGTGAAGCCATGATGGGACCCGACACGCTTAGGGCACTCATATCGGAGAAGATAGGGATGGATCGAAGATGCAAAATGAGTGATCGAGGCGGCTTATATGTAGGAGGTTGTGACCGAAAGATATGATACGCAGGTCGATTAGGGTTAGGGGCCTATTCATTGTTCCTTATTTAGTCATTTTTTATCCAACTTGAAATCTGGTCATATATTTGTCTAATAAAACTTTAGGGGGGAAATCGTATTTTTAGTCCCTCAAATAGTCACCATATTGAAATGTCGACCCGTGTTTCCGAGTTTGTAAATGTCACCCCTCTATTATCCAAATTGTTGTAAAACTTTGTTGAGGCTTATGGGGAAGAGGAGGCAAGGGCTGACGCTTAAGCATCGGCTAGTGGAAATATTTATTTAAAACTTTGTAACGATTAATGTTCTTACTCATTAATAAAGAGACAAAAATTCTTGAACATTCTTCAGACATTGAGTTTTCTTTTTAATAAAAAAAAATTTAGATTCTTATGTTTCATTTATTCTTGTAGAACTTTGTGTTGCTATATGAATTACATTTGGTTTATTTATTTATTTATTTATTTATTTATTTATTTATTTATTTAATTATTGCTTATCACACTTTGTATTATACATAGGAAACTACTCACAGTAGGACTAAAACATACTCCCTACGGTTCTAAATCATCTTTACACTTTTCTTTTTTTGTCAGTACCGGATTATACTTTACACTTTCTTATTTGCCTTACAAATCTACACCAAACAATGCAAAACACTGTCAAACGGTGTCAAACAGTGTCAAACAGTATACTCTACAGTAAAGTCAAATTTATTTCCATACTATGTGTGAAGTCAAAGTGTAAAGATGATTCAGAACCGGAGGGAGTAGCATTTTTCTTAAAGTATGATCATGTGTTTGATTTTCTTTAAATATGACTAAATGTTACATATTCATCCCAAATTTAATTAATTAATCGATATAATTTATTGTCCCTAATTCCCTTGCATACCAAAGCGATTTTGTCGGTGATGGACCAATCGGATGACGACGGCAGGAAACTCCGGTAATGGAGGCGGACAGGCAGATCAGTAGCGACAACCTAGGTAAAAATTCTGACGATCAATAGTGACGATTAGGGGTGGGCAAAAATCCCGGTCCCGGTGTCCCAAACCAAAATATCCCGATACCGTTCTGAAACTATCCTGATCCATTTAGAAAGCAATTTTTTCATCCCAAACCGGTCCCGCGCCGATATTAATCGGGACACGACCAGGATAGCTATAAAATATCATGTCCCGACCTGGTGTCCCATTTGAAATTAATATGTTATTTTAAATTTTTTTAATACTATGTAATAACCAAACTCAATTAAAACTTTCGATCTAATCCTTAGTCTTCCTAGTGTAATTTTATCTTATTTCATGTCTCTTTTAGTCTCATTTCTTTTGTTTCTGTTGATTAAAATTTGTTTAGTTCTCATTCCAATACTGATCCATAATATATTATTACGTGCGGAATACTATCTATGATGGAATAACTACTAGCTACTCCAAATTCTAGTGTTGTTATAGATTTAATATTTTCCCAAATAACTACAAGAATGTGTGTGTGTGTTTGTGTATATATATATATAGTCTTTATAGATATGATATTTAATTTAATGTGGTATTGAAAAATTACAAGTGTACTACAAAGTATAAAAATATTTTGTGCTACTATTCTACTAGAGGAAACACAAGATTAGGGGGACCAAAAAAATTTGCAAGACAAAAACTAAAATTTGTTAATTAAAGGTTTGACATAAAATTTTAGGGAAACTAAATTTGCAAAAATATTTACGTCTTTATTTTAATGTTAGCTTATTTTATATCACATTGCACAAACGCATATTTTTCTCAGGTTGTTCCGGTCCCGTTTTAAATGGGACAACATTAGGATAAAGACTTATCACGTACCGTACCGGACCGTTGTTATAAAACCAGGACGGGATTGGGATAAGCCAAATCACGGACCGTCCCGGACCGTGCCCACCCCTACTGACGATCCACTTTTGAAAATCTATGAAATCTTTAAAAATTAATAATCTATGAAAAGTTAATTTAAAAATCAATAAAATCCATTCATAAAAAAAGGGATGACCATAAATTTATAAGTTCATTTACTTTTTTTTTTTTATAAAGTCTATATATCGTTATAAATTTAATACTGTAGATTAAATAGACGCTCATCACTTTTGACAGCTCTGAAAATGTAAAACCAGGAACCGGAAGTCTGGAATAAACGGCGCTGATCGGTGATTTACCCGCGTAGTCACAACAGCTGGCCGACAATGGCGGAGTGGCAAAAGATGAAGACGACACATAGATAGGAGAGATCACCGTAACCCACCGCTCGGAGCTGGAGTGCTGGACTGACGTATGATACCTTCTTTTCCTTCGTTTTAAGCCCCCCCCCCCCCCCCTGGGTGAAGAAAACTCATCCTCACCCTCGTACTCGGAGTTAGAACCACTTCTTCGTTTTGTTTATCCGGCCGGATATTCATTTCCTTTTCGTTTTGTTGATAAATGGCTTCTATTGCAGCAATCGAACTTCAGGAACGGGGGATTCCGCCACTGCTTCACAACCGGAATGCACGTTCGGCACCTTCTGATTTAAGCCGCACCCCGGAAAGGGTTAAAGCCGCTGACTTGGAAGCTGGTTCCTTGGCAATTTGTTGGATTTGCTTCGAATCTGTAGTAAACGGTGATAATATTATTGATGCACAAGAGTTCATCGTTGTGTGATTCTATCATGTCTTAAATTTGTGATTTTTACCTATTGTATATTTGTATGAACTTATTCGCCATGGTTTATTTCAACTCTGCTGCCAATGAAGAGCATCCCCTTTTTGGTTGGGGATAAATAGAGGCTTCATAGCATAGTTAGTGATTAAATAGATAAATACCTGTTTTTCTCTTGATCGAGCTTTGTTGATTAAATAGATAAATACCTGTTGCTTCAGGCGAGAATGTCATATCTCCATGTTTATGCAAGGGTTCGCAACAGTTTGTGCACCGTCAATGTCTAAACTCTTGGCGGTCCATAAGAGTGAGATATACACATTCATACATACTTGTAGTTCAATACCATGAATTATTGTATTTGAATGTAAAGTTCTTATGTGGTTGTATAATTATTTGTGTAGGAGGGATTTGCATTTTCAAATTGTACTACCTGCCGGGCTCCATATCATCTGTGTGGGAATTCTCCCCACACAGCCGAGACTCCCAATTAATGAAGCGTCTGGCCCAAATACGAGATAAAATACGTGGATGTTTTAACAACTTGAATGACACCATTATGGGCCTCAGTGCTAGGACCATTAATGGGAAGTTAGTCTCGGCCAAAATATATGACCTTTTAAGAACTAAAGGGAACCCTAGGACTCCAATGAGTTTCATTTGGAAGTCCTATATTCCTCCAAAATTCTCTTTTAATGTTTGGTTGGCCTTAAGGAACCGACTACCCACCCAGGATAGCCTCGGTTACCTAAACATGGTCAATAGATGTGACTTGTGTAAAAGTGGATTGGAAACAATCCCACACTTATTCTTCCTTTGCCCCTTCACTTGTAGGGTATGGGACAAGATTAGAGAATGGATGGGACTTGGGCACGAAATGACTACTCTGCTTAGCTCAATCAAATGGATCACGAAGACCCACAAAGGGTCAACATTGAAAGCAAAAGCGGCAAGACTTGCGTTCTGTGCATCGGTCTACTATATTTGGCATACAAGAAATGAGAACTTATTTGATGATGGAACAAAAACAGAGGATAATGTGATAGCAAAGGTCAAGCATATGGTATATAAAATACTTTTTAGTATTTACCCATATGACCTGATCAAATTTTGATGGACCAAAGCTACCTTTTGGCAGACTGCGACATTGCTTATTAGACTGCGACATTGCTTATTACATTGCACATTTAGTGTCAAAGTCCAAACTTGGGATGGGCATATAGATAACATTTTTGTTTGTACTAGCGTGTGTGCCCTTGCAACACCTTGACTTCTTTTGACTCTCTTTTTTTTTTTTTTTTTTTTTTTTTTTTTTTTTTTTTTTTTTTTTTTTGGGGCTGATTTTAATCTTTGTGTGTGCAACATGTAGCACCGATTTTGATTTTGTCTTTTGGCCAGTGTGTGGCTTTAGACTAGACTTGTCTCTTATAAAGAACCTCTTATCCCCCTCACTATGAGGGGGTGGGGAGGTTTTTGTAGAAGTAGGACACATGTATATGTTAAATTTTTCTGGGTGTTAATATAATTTACATTTCATCCAAAAAAAAAAAAAGAGGACAAGCCTTGGTGGAATCTGAAGCACCGAATACTTGTGGCCAGGGATGCCTTCATTATGTTTTTGTGTGTACAGATTGTAAGTGATATGTTTAGCCACACGTTTACTTTTCTCATGTTATTTAGTTTTAAATTCCTAAAAATGTCAACAAAGCCAGAAACCCATAGTGTGGACTGTAGCTTTCAAAACTGACTTTTAAACACAAATAAAACAGTTCACGAGAAGTAATGCATGCACTACCATGACATATGTTTTTGAATGAATAATTAGATGTTATGCAATTTCCAAGAAGACCACATATATTTTCCAGTGCTAGTGACACTTCCTTTGATTGTAAGTATGTAACTAACTACCAAATGGTTTTAATGCCAAAAATGTATCACACATACGGAGTGCATTTTCTAGGACATTTTAAATAATATTCAGTTTATGGAAGTCACATTTCCAAACATCTTTACTCATTTCAAATGTCCATTTTTAGATTTTTAAATGATCTTTAATAGTACGCGTATTATGAGGTATTGTTTTGTTGTATTTAATATAGGTGAACAACTGTGGAAGCATTTTCCGAATTTGACACTTATGGTATTTATAGAATGCCTTGGATCTATTTCTTAACTTAATGAATTCTTACCTTTGTATCTTTACCATTACAGCTGATTGGGGTTTTTGGTGCCCTTGTAAGTTTCATGGATAGAGATGGAAGTTTTCAGGATGCATTTAATGACTCTTGGAAGCAAATGATTTCTAGACATCCAGTTTGCTTCTATTACAGCACAGGTGTGTGTTTTCCACAAACTTCAAACAGTAATCTAGGACAATCAAAAGCTTAAAATCTAAAGCTAAGGGATAAAACTTTGCGAGGCATATTTTTTGTAATTAAGTATAACTTTGATATTGTGAATGGAACAGGAACAATTGTGGTTTTTCTTCTTGCTGGGATTATTGGTTTTGCATATTATTTATGGGCAATCGACACTGAGAAGAGGGAAGAGTTCCGGATTGCATGTTTGGGTTGGATTATTTTGGAATGTGTTTTGACATCATCAAAAACATTCATTCCTCTGGCTCTTGCTTTAATATCCGCCTTTACTATTTTTGGTGTTGCATATGGTTTCTTTTTGGGCACATTGGCCTTCCATAAAAGCTGGCAGAAACACCGTGATGTTCTCTCAAAGCGATGCCTTACAGAGGTCCATTTCACCTCCCTTGATTTAAATAACAAGGCAGTAGTAGTAGCTGTCATGTAACAGTTCATATTATGTTTTTCTCTTTGACAATTGAATGTTGGCCCACCCCAAAGTCTTTTTGGACTAAGGCTTGGATGTTGTTGACAATTGAATGTTGCAGGAGTACGTAGTGGAGGATCTTCATGGCTATTACTTTGCACCGCCAAAATTGGATCCTGAACATGAAGAACGCTTGAGAGCACTTAAACTTATGTAGGCATGCAAAGTTAAGTGATTTTCTCTTTGAAAATGTGATTGATTTGTCTGCAGCAGCCGATTAGTTGTTTAAGTTTACCTATTTTGACATGGTTACTTGGTTAGTTCATAGAGAGGGGGGGGGGGGGGTTGACAACCTGTTTATGTCATATCCTGGTTCTTGCCAGTGAGCCTTTCCCTTTCATAGAGTTATAGATGGTGATGATGAATATTACTTTGTAAATAACAACCTGTTTGACAACCTGTTTATGTCATATCCTGGTTCTTGCCAGTGAACCTTTCCCTCTCATAGAGTTATAGATGGTGATGATGAATATTACTTTGTAAATAACAATGCACCCATTTGTAATGTTTTGTTTTGTATTGAACAAATAGAAAGTCATTTATCATGGCAGTGTCTTAATATTTGAAATTGCAATTGATGTCTCATGTTAACAGTCTCATGTGGTAGTGTAGAAATTCATTTGGCATTCATGGTACGAATGTCTCATCATGTTTGACCCCAAAACTTGTCGTGGCAGCGTCTTATGTTTGACGCTGCCAAAACTTGTCCATAACAGTCTCATGTATCATGGCAGCGTCGTACGAAGTCATTTATCGTGGCAGCGTCTTATGTTTGACCCCAAAACTTGTCCATAACAGTCTCATGTTAGCAGATCGTAATCGAGGTGGGCTATTTTTTTTTTTTCAAAAAAAAATCGAGGTGGGCTATAGATGTCAGTTGATTCGCATTTCCTTCGCTCATATGGTAGTGTAGAAATTCATTTGGCATTCGTGGTACGAATGTCTCATCATGTTCAATGCATTAGTCTTGTGCTTCTTTGGTGAATGTTTCTCACCAAACTTGTTCTTCTCACACATAGGGGTGGACTCGGGCCGGGTGGCCCGACCCGGAACCGGCCCGGCCTGGCACTGTTCCGGCCTGGTGGCCCGGTCAGTGACCGGTCCGGGTAGGCCCGACCCCCTGGGGGGACGGTCCGGGCTCGGGCCCCCCAAATCACGGACCGGCCCGGCCGGTTCCGGGCCTTTTTATTTTTTTTTTTCTATTTTTTTAACTTTTTGGGTTGGGCTGGGTATTTTGGGCCATTTGGGGTGGTTTGGGGGTGAGGGGGAGGGTTGGGGGTTAACTAGGAAAAGAGAGAGAGAAAATTAACTAAGGCCCGACCCGGAACCGGGGATTACCCGGGCTGGTTCTGGGGCCCCCATTCCTGAACCGGAGGCCCGACCGGGCCTAGGCCCGGCCCGGCCCGGCCCTGAACCGGCCCGAGTCCACCCATACTCACACACATTAACGGCTCACGCAAACACAGTTTAGTAACACAATGAAGGATGAGAAGATAGGTGCCAAGCTCCCACCTGCTGACAAGAAAAAGATTGAGGATGCAATTGAGGAAGCCATCCGGTAGCTTGACAGCAACCAACTGGCAGAGGCGGAGGAGTTTGAAGACAAGATGAAGGAGCTGGAGGCATTGTGCAATCCGATCATAGCTAAGATATACCAGGGTGGTGGAGCTCCAATGGATGATGATGACGCTCCTCCTGTCAGGAGCATCTTTTTTCAGCTGCAAAGAAACATCTATTTAATTCAAGACATTTCAATAATTTCAGTGATTAAGACAACAACTCAAATTAAAATTGGATTAAAAAACATCCCTAACTTAATCTATCATGATTCAGATGCAAATCAGGTTTTGTTAATAATTCTTGCAAAGACTTATCACTTCAGTCCAAATCTAAAGAGTGGATATTAGCACATAAAAATTAAAATTGATTAAACAATTTACCAAATATGATTAGAAATGGTTAATAAAATAATTATAGCTAAAGTTGAAGATATTAATAAACTAAATTGCAAAATAATTTCTGGACAAGAGGATAAGATTAAAATCAAAACTTAGTAAAATAGTTTTTGGAGAAGCTGGGCCAGTTTTGAACTTTCACCAGCAAAGTCATATACATATACAACAACAACTACTCACTATAAAGAGGGAGAGATAATATATGCAGATAAGTACCATCTAGCTTACCTGAATAAAAAATCATGGTACCTTGGAAGAAGCCATCCCTGCAAAACAACATGAGTAAAATAGTTATCTGACAATTTGAGTATATAATAAAATGTAAGCAAGTAAAGTATACAACAAACTGCCTCGGCTCTAATACTTGGTCTAGCGTCCCACATTAGAATATGTTTTTTTTGTTCAATCATGCAACCTATGGATAGTTTATGTTCAGATCATTGGAAATAACATTAGGTACAGATTGTTTGGTTTACTACGTTCAGTCTGGACAGTATCAGACTCAGTGACACCAGTACCTGAATTTCAAAATATATTGGGCTGAAGACCGGATGAATATAATTTCAGACCAGTTCAATATACTCCGCTAATTCAATATACCCTTATAATAGACCAGTTCAGTTTGGTCCAGTTTTCTGGTCAGGACTGGAATACGCTCACCTCTTATTGTTGTTTTATGAAGGATATTAGTGATATTATTTCTCTTTGGCTTTACCCTGAGAAGTTGTCACTATAAATTAAAGACAGTTCATTTCTAAAGCCTTTAAAGAAAGATAAACAATGTTAGACATCTAAAAGCATATAAAGAGTTATAAGAGACCGTGTTTGAGTAACCTTGAAGTTGAAGAATTCCACTTTAAAGAACGAGGAAAACAAATGCATGTGAAGTATAAGTTGTAAAGCACCAAGAAAACCAAATTAACTTTAAGACTTTGAAATGTTAGTTAATAAAAAAAAAAATCGATCAAGAAGCTACATATAAAGCCACTCAAAAGTGGCCTTCCAGAAGAGCCATTCAAAGATATGAAAAAGCCAGGAAGGAATTAAAATCTATCAGATAGATAAATATAGTTAATTTTAATATTTCATGTGAAACAGGTATGCTCTGTAAACATGAAGAAATGCTATATTGGGAGGTTTAAGAGGTTTTGTTTGTAATCAGATTTTAAGTAAGTGACAATAATGAATAAGGAAAACTTTTTTTTAACTTCCAATTTAAGTAAATGATTCGAGGAATTCCCTAATAAAATTTTGTCAGCAATTTGAAATTAGTAGTTATTTGGGACACGATTGAATAACACTTTGACATTTCTTGAATGTTCATAACATTTGGTTTTTCAAGGTATTGGTGTGCAGTGAAGCTTACAGAGTAGAAGTTTCGTTTCCGATAGGTTTATGCTGAATATTTTACTCCGAATGAAATGTGTCTAGCCAATTCATTGTGAGTAAGATTCAAAAGTATGTACGTTTTTTTCTATGTCTGGTGGATCAGTGGATAATAATAGCATGTGTATTGGAAAGAATGCGTGTGCAAACCATTAATGAAACATTTTAGGATTGCAAGTGAATGTATGAGTTTTTTCTCCCAGAGTCAAGGGTGTTTGAAATGGAAGAGATCATTGCACATGTACAACTGAATTCTGCATTCTTAACAATGGTTAAGGCATTTTAGATCGAACAGATGACGGACATTCATGAAATAACAGGTAAGAACGATTTGTGCACATAAATATGAACAATGTGGTTTGGGAGCAGAGTCCAGACGAGTTATAAGTGGAGGTTTTAGGAATAAAACTTCCTTGAATATTATTGAGCCATCAGCAGTGGTATTTATACAGAGTACAGATAACAACTTTGCTATTCAGATCCTAAAAATAGGATCTTTCTATCTATGTGCTTATCTATTAATTAATGAAGTCTATCAGCAGTCTATCATCTCTAATTCTTATCTAATACACTACACCCATACATTAAATAAAAATTACAAACACATGTCACATTTTCTACACGCCCCCTCAAGTTGGTAAGTATATATCATACATTCCTAACTTGCTTATAAGTAGTTCAAACACTGGTTTGAACAATCCCTTTGTGAAGATATGAGCTGTTTGTTCTTTTGTAGATATGAATGGAGTACACACAATCCCAGCCTCAATCTTTTCTTTAATAAAGTGTCTGTCAACTTCAATATGTTTGGTACGATCATGTAGCACAGGATTATGAGCAATATTAATGGCTGCCTTATTATCACAATATAACCTCATAGGTAGATCCATCTTCATTCTCAGTTCTGACATTACCCTCTTGATCCATAGTAGTTCACAAATTCCATTAGCCATAGATCTAAATTCATATTCTGCACTACTCCTAGCAAACACATTCTGCTTCTTACTTCTCCAAGTCTCCAGATTTCCCCATACATAGGTACAATACCCAGAAGTAGATCTTCTATCAGTAATTTTCCCCTACTGTTGTTCTTTCTAAAGTATAATCCTTTCCCAGGACAGCTTTTCAAATACCTTAGAATTCTGTAAGTTGCATCAAGATGTTCCTGGAATGGATTGTGCATAAACTGGCTAACCATACTAACTGCAAAAGCAATGTCTGGCCTTGTATGTGCCAAATAAATCAATCTTCCCACCCATCTTTGATACTGTTGAACATTAACTGGAACTCCCTCTTTGACATCTCCCAACTTTTGATTAGGATAAATAGGGGTATCTATTGGTCTGCATGCACTCATACTTGTTTCTTGCAGAAGGTCTAGTACATACTTCCTCTGTGATACCACAATTCCTTTTTTTGATCTAGCTATCTCCATGCCAAGAAAGTACCTCAGTTCTCCCAGATCTTTGATTTCAAATTCCTGGGCTAGTTTCTCCTTCAGACTTGCAGTTTCTTTATAATAATCACCTGTAAGAATGATATCATCAACATACACAATTAGTACTGCAATCTCCCCCTCACTTGAAAATTTCATAAAAAGAGTACGATCAGCTTGAGCTTGCTGAAATCCATGTCTCTTTATGAACTGGGTGAACCTCTCAAACCAAGCTCTTGGGGACTGTTTAAGCCCATACGAGGCTTTCTCCAATCTGCACACCTTTGAGCCATATTTGCCCTCAAAACCAGGAGGAGGACTCATGTATACTTCCTCTTCAAGTTTACCATTTAAGAAGGCATTCTTCACATCTAACTGCTGAAGTGGCCAGTTTAGATTAGCAGCTAAAGATAAGAGAATTCTTATAGTATTTAGTTTTGCAACTGGGTCAAAGGTTTCAGTATAGTCTATGCCATAGGTTTGTGTATATCCTTTGGCAACTAACCTGGCCTTATACCTTTCAAGTGTTCCATCTGCCTTGAATTTAGGAGTAAAAACCCATTTACAGCCTAGAGTAGGTTTGTTCTTGGGTAACTCTACAATCTGCCATGTCTGATTCCTTTCAAGAGCATTCATCTCTTCCAAAACTGCTTTCTTCCACTCAGGTTTAGATAGAGTTTCCTGTATGGTTAAGGGAATTGCAATAGAAGAAAGATTAGTGATAAAGGCTGCAAATGATAAGGATAACTGGGAATAAGACACATAGTTTGAGATAGGATATCTGACACATGACCTTTTCTCTTTTTTGA